GCAGTGTGTACTCTGCAGCGTGTACTCTGCAGCGTGTACTCTGCAGCGTGTACTCTGCAGCGTGTACTCTGCAAACGTCGCAGAGCTCGCACAGAATTTTTATATATGTTCCCCGAAACATTAGCAGAGCATATAAGTCGAGCTGACTTTCTACATTGCGTTTAACTTATCTTGAACATTTCTGGATTTATTATTTTTAATGAGTTGATGGCAAAATATTAAAATCTACTTATTTCTTTTTAATCAAGCAGGTGCTTCAAGGACCTTAAAGCACTTCATGATTAGAGTTTACTTACGTTGAGTGCAGATCACGATTAGTTATTGCTCCGTGTCGCTTACTTATATAATGTTTAAGCATTTGATATAATATTAGGGATTAAATACTAAAAATGCTGAAATTATTCAAATTGCTAGCTTTTTTCTACAATGATACTCTTCTCGAAGTTTTTTTTTTTCACAATTCGGATCGTGATTTCCTTTCATGCCTTTATTTCTGTCGTCGAAGCAAGAATGTAAGTCGTCCTAACTCTAGGCTCAACACTTCAAAAATCGCGGTTCAAAATTTGACCTCGAACTGAATTGATATAAAAAAACATTCATTTTAAAAAATAAACTACAAGACTGCCAGGTTTGTCGAGACGTCGCTGCTCAGAGCGCGTGCCACGGCAGACTTGGTTGTGGTGCAGGCAGCGCGGGGCTACGTTGCCACGTGACTTCGAGACAAGAAGTCAAGAGAGACATATTAAACCTTAATTGGGATATAAAAAGTTAACGCAGCTGAGGCTTTCCTTTTTAATTAATGATACAAAATTATTTTAATTCATTAATGACTAATTTTTGTCTAGCTACATGGTACCATTGTCCATGGCTTTTATCAGTAATCATTATTGCATGACTGCAAATTCTTACTAAATTCGATTTAATCTTCATGCGGTTTATACGGGACGTTGGATTGAGATTTATTGGATGCGTTGCTCATCCGACGCATCGCGTGATCCAGCAATCAATCGTGATGAATTATTGAGCGTGCTTCACATATGTGATCTCTAATCTGACGGCTGAATTCTCATCAATTATTTCTCGTGGCGGAGAGAATTCAAGATGGTCGAATATTTCTGCACGATTTGGCCAAGAATACTTTTTAATTCAATCCAATTTCATTATACTTCTCAGTGGCGACTGGATTCACAAAATTTATCATAATGATCCTATTTGGATCGTGTACTATTAAAGATTTTGATAATCTTATTTCGGCAAAAGGTTCAGTGATATCGTTAACTGAATTCGGTACTTCAACCATCTAAACGCCCGAATAACTCATGGAAACTCCTTTTTTAAAGTAAGAGTAATAGATCACGTTCACTTTTAAGATTTTGTGTCAAGTATCTGAGAAAATTTTAGGGTTCATTTGTTGTGTATTACAAGTTCGTGCTCTGCGCATTCGCTTGCCATTCGAACTCAGAGCCTTCTCCCGTGTGTACTCCTATACGGCGTGTTTAACACTGAGCCTTCTCCCGTAGCAACACTTTATGTGGCATGTTTAACACATAGCCTACTCCCGTGTGTTTCTATGCGTATTTATACGGCGTATACGGCGTGTCCCATACGGCATCTACACGGCTTGTTTAATACATGCTGCTAATTACACGGAGCAATTTGAAGCTCTTGAAATGCTAGTAAGAATTTCACCAGCGACCTGCTGCTGCTGGGCACTTGGCTCCCGATGAAGCGTAACTGCAGGTAAACAAGATCAGGTTGAGGAGCATGTGACTATAAGCAAGGTGATGATGCTGCATCAGGATACTTACTCTAGTTTACTGTCAGATTTATAAATAGAACAAACTTATAACCGATTTTTGTCGACTATAACTATAAAGTAAATGCCCTCATACGCATAGCTTACATATAGACTAAAAATGAGGCGAAAAAATGTAAAAGAAAAACGATTGAATGTGACGCAGCTGATTGGTGTAAAAGTGGTTGTGGGGAGAGCAATTACTGTTCACATTCTTTCTTTCGCACCTGTTCGAACATCTGTCGTTCTCCTTTCATGTTCTGATTTACAATCCAGATCTTCCGCTAATTTGAACAGACTCGTTAGTTTGAACATCATTTAGCGCCAGTGAAATGCAATTAATTTATATTCAGTAAGGAATCAGCATGTGGGTAAAATTTTGTGTTTTTTTTGGTGATAAGTCATCCGTGCATAAAGTGCATGGAACGGCATTCATTACTCGGTAGGATCCAATTGACATTCTAACAAGTCCACACGTACAGAGTAAAGAATGCAAGTTCATATATTTTGCTGCTCATTTTTCTTCTATCATTCCATAGAAGTATCCTTCATTCCATAGCTTGTGTATCATTCCACCTTTACACCATCGGTATGATTGAATCAACAGAAAGTGCTGATATTCGATCAAAATTTTGTGTCCTATCGTTTTTTGGCCTTCAGTATAGTCAATCACGTAGTGGAAGAATTTCGTTTTAGGTACCCGACACAAGCGTAATTAAAATTCAGAATTAAAATTAATAACAAAATATTAAATTCAATATCAATTGATTGCAGGCAAAGGTGAAAGTTCGCGGCATAGAATGTAATTTGGGTCATATTATCTTCTATGCACCTTAAAATGGTGATAAATGTGTAATTTAACTTCATTATTTGAATAACTAATTAGTGAGAAAAACAATTTTTTTCTATCCATCCCCTTTTGGGGTAACGCTTACAGTCTCACGCGCTTCCGTTCACATCGGAAACGTCAGGAGATGACATGGAGAATAAAACGCTAAGGACATTAAAACATTCATATTTTGTATAGAAGAGAAAAACTTGCATGATTATAACTTGTCGTCCCACTTGAGGCTGTATTTACATAACACCAATATTCCTTCCAAATTTATTCTTGCACAAATTTCCGTTTTCTGCTCATTCTTGCTTATTGTAGTTTGTACCATTGTTCAGTTTCAGTTTGATTATTTACTCAATGAATACGACTCAATGCAATGCTTCCAACAACGTGGCAAGTGCCTTATGGCACTCAGCAGTTTAACATGGCGCCGTAAGCATAGCAGGCACGAGGCGCCGTAAGCATAGCAGGTGCCGTAAGCATAGCGGGCGCCGTAAGCATAGCAGGCACCGTAAGCATAGCAGGCACGAGGCACCGTAAGCATAGCGGGCGCCGTAAGCATAGCAGGTGCCGTAAGCATAGCAGGCACCGTAAGCATAGCAGGCACGAGGCACCGTAAGCATAGCAGGCGCCGTAAGCATAGCGGGCGCCGTAAGCATAGCAGGCGCCGTAAGCATAGCAGGCACCGTAAGCATAGCAGGCACCGTAAGCATAGCATGCGCCGTAAGCATAGCAGACGCCGTAAGCATAGCATGCGCCGTAAGCATAGCAGGCACCGTAAGCATAGCAGGCACCGTAAGCATAGCAGGCGCCGTAAGCATAGCAGACGCCGTAAGCATAGCAGCTAAGAGACGCCGTGACTCGCGTAAGTCAAGGTATCGATTCTCGTCACGGGCAAACGTCGTCGATCTAATGATAATCGCTTCCAAAGTGTGATCGTAGCTTCATTGCGTGGCAACACGCCCAGTTAATGTAAACAAACTCGTCTGTATCTTCTGGCGTTAAAGTTCTATAATATGCCTGCCTACATCTCAAATTTATAAAAAAAATAATATGAGAATTTAATTACTAATGGATGTGTGAATTTATTTTCTTCAAGCATCAATGATAAATAGATTTTAAATATATAATATAGTCCCAACAATGTCATTTTAGGACCTCAGCAGGTTAGTCCAACGGCTGAGACCTGCATGTCTCCCTAGCACAATCCTCGACGCTGGGCGCTAAGACGTTGAAATGTGAAGGCCGGAATTATCTCGAGCCTATCATTCACGGCAGCGTGGCTCATTACTGAACCGCACTGCGCTATTAAGGGATGTTATATCGACCTCATGCCTAAGTGATCATGCGTTGGAAAGCCTGTTCTCTTGTGTGCTCCATGGGCGATATTAAAGGTGACAGAAATGGTGACATGAATGATCCGTGGGACGCTGTGAGGAAGGTAGGAGGGGAAGCGGAAGGTAATATTCGGGATCCTGATAATGTCCTTCCCAGCGCTGAAGAATGAATGGCTGAGGCTTCATCTCTGTAAAGATAAGATTACTCACTGCATGCACTCCGCTCCTACTCCACATATGTGAGAATTGAGCATTTTTCGGTGTCCTCAAGACGTAAAGATGGCTCGGAAAAGAGACCGACTGAGCTTCGCAGATGACAAACATTATCTCGGAGGATTTTCTTTCAAACATATTATTTCTATTAGTTGTTATATTTTCGATCGAGGATATTCAAATTCGTAAATCCATGTATTCCCATCTACGTATATGAAAGAATTTCTATTAACAGTTTCGCCGCATGAAATGACAAGTAAAATTTTATTTACGTGATATGTTTGATAGTTGATGAACCATATGATATCTTCATATTTTTGCGTTTTATTATTTTTCAGTTATTGAATAAGTTGTTTTATAATTTGTTATTGGAAATTTTATGCTGTAAACTATGTTCAGTAAATCCTTAACGATGAAACTTTTCGTCTAATGGCAGTGGCCATAATTGGTTGCATCCATAATCAATTCCTGTGCGGAATCGAATGGCCTGAAGCGAAAAAATTCCCGTAAATCGGATAAATTAACGAGCGCCTGCCTGAGGCAGTTTCTATTTATTTGCGCCGCCCTGAGGAACTCGATCAGAGGGATATTAGACTGCGCATCGCTGACTCTACTCTAAGAAACCTGCCGCCCGGACTATAGCTATGGGCTCGTGTTCAGCTTCTGCAAGAAATTGGTATTTAACTCTTTGCGAACTTATTTCTATCAAATGATATTATTCCATCGCAATTGAGATAACAGGTTCTAAATGTGTGTTTGCTTACGTATGATGCAAATTATATTTTTTGTGTGCAGTGGTAAGTGCCAGAATAGATCACAGCTGGAAGCCGCACAGAACAGATCACAGTGTTAAAATTATTTCGTCTCATTAAGACATGAGTGATGCAAAACACAAATATTAGTGTTAAAGTGGACTTCTCATGTCATGGCTCTTAGTTTAATATATGTATATACTCGTAGTTAGTCAGATAGATGCTAATTATCATGGATTCTAATCATCAAGATCAAGATCCTAATTATCATTATAGTGAATACTATCAAAAGCGACAACAATAAATGTCTTCATTTATTTAGTCGATTTTATGGAACTGCATTAAAAGCAGCGAGACTTGGACGGAGAAGACATCACACGCGATGGCTTACACAGAAGTTTGAAATCTTTCATGCGAACTAAAATTGTTGGACGTTTGAAACTTTACAAGAGGACACCATTGTGATGCTGTCTCAGTACTCCGACACGAGTTTCAATGGGCAAATACCATCTTCTGGTCCCTTGCAACCGCCCACTCCTGCTACTTCGAGTCCAAAAGCCAATGGCACCACAGGACTACCGAATTTTGAAATTTTACTCGGCAATCTTTCTCTTGCTGTCTTTCCTAATGGATCCGAAATTTTCAACAACAGCGACAAATACGCTGCGTGTGACCAGTTCCCAGCCTTGCCTTTCTGCAACGACTCTTATCCTGGCGGCGACGAGGTGAGTAGCGCTGTGTGTGTGTGTGTGTTTTTGCGCGAATAGGTGTGTACTTATTCGCGTGTTTGTGTATTCATGTGTATGTGTATTCGTGTATATATTTGCGTGTATTTATTTGCGTGTGTGTGAGTAGCTCTCGCGCAAATAGCCCCGTGTGCCATGGCTATTACAAGGCATATTGCTTGTGTATGATAGAATGAAAATTTGAAATTATAATATGTCACTATTGCAATACGCATTTAGCCTCGACAATAATATCTGTTGAGTGAAATTCACGACCTACCGTCCAGGACGCTGAGGAACCCAGCTACGCGTTCATCATCAACATCGTCGTGCCAATTATCTTCGGGCTGGTCGTCCTCGTCGGTCTCTTCGGTAACACCCTCGTCGTCATCGTCATCATTGCCAACCGTCAGATGCGGTCCACCACAAACTATCTTATCTTCAGGTAAGTTATGGGTAATTAGTTTAACGTGGAGTAACCTTCAGTTTGAACGCATTTCTGCATTTACTTGAGCTACTGAAAGCAAAATTGTGAAACGTTCATGTCTCATGAATTACGTCCGTTAAAGAGGCATGTTATTATGAGTTATGACCCTTAAATGTATAAACCTTATTCACATTCTTACACGACACATGCGTGATGTAGAATCACGACGCATCCGGAGGAACGTTGATGAAAAGAAAACTCGATACAACATTTTTGTGTTTGGGCGTTAAGTTGTCGATGTTCACGTAATCAGTCGAGTATTAATGTGACAAAAAGTTCATATTGAAAGACTCGTCCACCCACGCACATCTTGTGTGGAACACTGATGATCTCCCACTAAATTTCGTAGATTATAGTTCAGCTGTAATTAAATGGTTCGTAAATAATTGCGAATGAAGTCAAGAGTCGAGAGCAATATAAAATATAAATGAAAGGTCTGATTGGCAGGCCATTTTCGTAGGATACTTCGAAATCGACTCACGCTAGAGCTGACCGGATGGAAAAGGCTTAATAAATCATTTATGCTGTGTCGAGTGACTTACATATAATACGTGCATATCCATTTAAATTTTAGTGGGTTATTTAACTAATTTTTCCGTTTTTTTATATCCATATAGGTTTAAGTGAGAACCTGACACGGTCCAGATATTCAATAATTAATCAAAAACTTTATTCGTTAGATATGCCCAAGTAATTAAGGGGTGCCGAGCTTTATTTTACGATTTTCATAGATTAGATCTAGGCCATCAATTTAATATACTATGCTCGATAACCATAGACTGACAGTTGAATTCTTCATACAGGTGATCCAGCTTCAAATTCGATTACGGTTGATAAAAAATTCCAGCGGAATAATGATTTTAGCAACATCTCATTGACCATTTTCAGTTTTGATCAATTCACGAACCGTGAGTTCGTAACGACATAAGTATAATAGTGAATCGTTTTTTTTTCAAATTTGCACTTGAATGTTCACGGCTAAAGAGAAAATTTGTCTTAAGAATGTAATAAAAATTTTAGAATTTTAACTTAGAAGACACATTGATATTTTGCTACCGATATCTTGCATATTAATAACACGTTTCGAACGCGCAGGAAGTCGTGCAGCATCGAACGCCTTCTAGCGCAGTTCTTGTTAAGAACAAGTTAATGTGAACTAACTCCTACGTAAACTTCATCCGTGCGATTCATATTCATTATTAACTTATAGTTTCCCGAATTCGTGACATTTGTAATAACATTTGCAACATTTGTAACAACATTTGCAACATTTGTAACAACATTTGTAATAAAATTTTTAACATTTGTAACAGAACTTCTAAGAAGAATTCTTATATTCTTAAATTTTCAACCGTAGAACATACATCAGTACTTGATCTCTGTGTTGCCGCAATTGCCACGTTCTTCTTTATTTTTCAATTAAATTACTGCATGTGGATTAAAACATCAGAACACTTTGAATAATCTTTCCAGTTTTCATCAGGATGTTCAATAACATCAGGCCTGTCATTTCATGGGGTTGTACATTTTTGATGGTTTATTAAGAATAAAGTTTATCTCGTGTGGGTTTAAGATACATTTACTCCTTCAGTAGCACATGACATTGCATGATCAATTCATATTGAATTTTCACAGCAGAACTTCTCTTCATCGTGTTCTGCAGTCAATAATACCACACCTTGTCCCGCAGCCTGGCCGTAGCTGACCTTCTCTTAATCGTGTCCTGCAGTCAATAATACCACACCTTGTCCCGCAGCCTGGCCGTAGCGGACCTACTCTTCATCATGTCCTGCAGTCAATAATACCACACCTCGTCCCGCAGCCTGGCCGTAGCGGACCTACTCTTCATCGTGTCCTGCAGTCAATAATACCACTCCTTGTCCCTCAGCCTGGCCGTAGCGGACCTACTCTTCATCGTGTTCTGCGTGCCGTTCACGGCCACGGACTACATTCTGCCGTCGTGGCCGTTCGGGGACATCTGCTGCAAGATGGTTCAGTATCTGAACTACGTGAGCGCCTACGCGTCAGCCTTCACACTGCTGCTGCTCTCAATCGACCGATACTTCGCTGTCGTCTATCCAATACACGCGCTGTCAGGTCGGTTCATTTACCCGCCACATAATGAGCAGTCGTTAAATGATGGTGTAGAAAATGAATCGTGAATTATATATGTTCTTAAGTTTGCTTGTGGTTATGTTTGAAGCCTGGCGCTGGAAATATATAAGGGCTATGTGAGGGCGTAGGAGCAATTAATGCCAACCGTGTACCAGAGAATGAAATTTCTGATCAGAGGCCTAATCAATGGGCATCGCAAAGCGGTATCTGGATTAAAAAAAATTCACTTCACTCTAAATTGATCCCAGCGAAACATTTTCCACAAATAAAAAAAATTCAAATCTGGAGATAAAGGGGATAAGATAGAGTGAGTCTTTCCTTATTTAGCATACATTGTTTTTAAAACTCATTTCGATAGAAGTAAAATCGACTTGATAACGGAAACGGGATTCAAAAATTATTCAAACCAAATATTAGGCCAATATCGTAATAATTTATTAAACGTGTGTTAAGCTACCTCATTTAGAAGCACAGGGCCTCCATAAGAAATTCTCGACAACACCTATTTCATTGACAATATACATATCCTCGACCTCGAGGCTACTCTTGTTGTTGACGGGAAATTTCATTGACTGAACAAATCTTCATTGACTGAACAAGTGAAGTTAAGCGATAACATCTTCTCTTACTCTCGCAATTTTTTTTTCAAATTGCGCGTTAACGTGCGAGTGAAACGTGGATGCTTAGCCCAATAAATATTTATAGATAACGCAAGAGAGGGCGAACGATCGCGAACGTATCTCTAATAACTTTCCGCCCGACATGTTTGCAGCCAAAACCGGTCTTGTTTTGCTATCGTAATCGTTTCAAGTATCGATTTAACGGCCGCAAAGATTAATTGTAACGACTCTAGGGTTGCAACTTAGGACGTGACAAAAACAAGCTTGCAATGATTATCCGGAAACTCACCTCCGTGTTTGTCTTTTCGACTTCTTGACCTTCGATCGCTTGGTTTTTGTTATTTATTGTACGACTAACTCATGAATTTCTCAATACGTAACCAAATTCTCATGAGATTTTAATTCAAAATTTTTTGCTTCTAAATCGGTTTTGATAAAGTTAGGCAGAAGCCCTTTTTCATACAAGTTTTATTGAAAATATGAGAATGTTTTTATTATTAATTTTGTTATTTGCCTTCTGGATCATTAATAGATAGGAGAAACGATTATTTACTGGTCATCCTGCACACCTGCATGGGGTGACATAGAATAATTGTGCCTGCCTTGCAAGGCTGATCTGCTTTACAAACTCACCTTATCTTGACAAGCACGCGGAGTCATTAAAACTCGCCATGTCTATTACCTACATGCGTTCTTAGCTTGAAGGAATCGTATCGTAATTACTTGCAGTTGATGCTGGTAGACAGGATACGGTGTCTAGGTAATTATTCGGTGATGCTTTTTATGGCTTTGATTGTGAAGGTTAATTTTAGGATTGTAACATTTAAGTTATGCATTAAAAGTCGTCATCTTTCGAAAAACAGGACACCATGGAAAATTAACTGTTTTCGGCTACCTAGTAGCGTGTGCATTTGAAGTGTTTCAGACAGTGTCAATTAACACATAGAATTAAGTCTCATTAGCCCTTCACGAATGTCTTGCCTCATTGTTTGAATGCATAAAATTAGTTTTCAAATAAATGCTAAGAAAATCTGATTCGCCACAGATAAAATAACGCAATCAATCCTACAAATTAAACACGAGTTTCATTTTTAGCATTATATTCCAAGCTTTAAAGTTATTGTCCGTCTTTCTCATACTTTAATTCACTAACATTTTTCTACATCTCCCGTGAAATGAAATTATATAAGATAACGACTTGAAAGCATGAGATTTTCATCGAGTAAGTTGCAGGTCGTTGGTCTCTATCTTTTAGCTTCAGCGTCTCTGCCGACATGTAATGGAAGCTCATGACAATATTATTGGTGTCAGATAATCCGTCTTCGCTGTACGTCTTCATCTTAAGCATCCATTCCAGCAGCCGAGACATTGCACTATCACACTTGGTCTGCACCATCAGCTTCCACGTGCTAAGGGTCTTATAAGTATTTGACTGAGAGCTATTCAGCCAAATTTAACTCAAACGTAAATGCCATACATTTATATTCAATGTAAATGTGTATAATATTATTATACTTTGACAGAACTATGTGCATTCAACTGTACATCCATGTATCGACGAAAAAAAAAGCCTTTAGCAGGCAACATTGTTTAACTTGTGTCCCTAGGCATAAAATTCCTCTTCACCGAGCAATGCAACGATTTTCTTGAGTGTTATGACGATAATTTTGATTTTTGCACGTCTTCTAATAATCATTCAGATTCTAAGATCATTCAGTCACATTATTCACTCTGTGGATATATTTTGCTTAATTTTAATAGTATTCTACTCTGTGTGTAGTGTATTATGGTTTTTGATCGAACTTTAATGATCAAACATACATTATGTATATTCACATGTAACTAAACGTAAAGCTGTTATTTATGAAGCATTAGTTATCGAAACCTGACATGGTTTAAAATCAAATTCCCAAAATGAGCATGAACTCTTTTACCCATGTCGGTCATTAATGTCATGATGTGAGATTTAAAACGTGAAATTATTCAACCCGGAACACACTTGCTGTAATTTCGAGCCCGGGAAATTTATGACCACACCTGTTAGATTCAACTGTTCGATTAATGAGAACCTTACCTCGGTTAGAGAAATTTTCATTCATTAAATACATTTAAATCTGCAAGTCAGCTTACTATTTTTTATATTCACGAAACGCAAGACAATTATTATAAGATGATTCATGCGCGTAGGTATTTTGTGCCTAGCTAATGACATTGCAGGGCCTCACGGTGGCCTGCGCCTCACTGCCCCGACATATTCACTGCGCCTGCCAGGTGCCTGCGCCTCACTGCCCCGACATATTCACTGCGCCTGTCAGGTGCCTGCGCCTCACTGCTCCGACATATTCACTGCGCCTGTCAAGTGCCTGCGCCTCACTGCCCCGACATATTCACTGCGCCTGTCAGGTGCCTGCGCCTCACTGCTCCGACATATTCACTGCGCCTTCCGCGTCTTGTTGTGTTTCTTGAAGATACATCGCTTGGTTCTCAACAGTTCTCGGACTCGGTGGCCACGAACAACATTCCTTCATTTCTACTGCTAGTTTTTTTTTAATTCTTAAAAGCTTCCTCTTTAAAGTCTAATTGTTTAGGATAGCGACTTGAAAGAATAATGGTTATATCAAGCAAGTTGCAGAGCATTGGCACATATCTGTATAGTAGCTACAGGGATCAAATGTTTGGAAAAGAAGAGGGTCGAAATGTAAGAAAATTGAAAAATTCAGGTTTTGCCACCGTATCTCAACAATAACTTTCAATACTACTAATAATATTGCCAAATATTGCATAATACTAATAAAAATAATAATAATAAAAATAATAAATAATATTTTTAATCATAAAATTACAATAGTAAAGAATTTTCGTTACTATTAACTGCGACTAATTCAAGAAATTAAACTTTATTACAAGGTAGTATATATGATGAATTCCAGGGCCATCAACTTTATTGATTCATCCAAGTTATTCACCAGTAATTATGATGATTTTATGGCCCACAAACCTGCCACAGCGCTTGCATTCAGGTCAACATCTATCATCAATTTGAACTGACAGTTTTGTGCCACCGCGTGTCTGCTTCTCACTAGTTCAATTAATTGATGATTGTTAACTGCTGCTTTATCTTACATATAAAACAAGGAAAATAAAGACTACAAATTTATTTAAATTCACGCTCAATATCCTGAACTTATTGAGCTGGCATGCAGACGTTGAAAAGCTCTAGAGCAACTCGACGTATGAACTTGACGTAAGAACTCCACTTAGAAACTCGGCATAAGAGCTCGACGTAGGAAGTCAACGTAAGAACTCGACTTAGAAACTCCGACACAAGAGCTCGACGTAGGAATTCGACGTAAGAACTCGACTTAGAAACTCGACGTAGGAAGTCGACTTAGAAACTCGATGCCGTTCAAATGTTGTTCGTCGAAGTCACTTTTTGCTGAATCCGACATTGAGATCGCTGGTGGCAAAGCGGGCTGGTTTACAAATGATCTCAGTTTGCAGGGAATTGAGAGATGGCAAACGAAAATTTATCATGAATGATCAAAGTATGTAGTTACGTGATATATTATACATGATGCCAATCATGAATTGGCTTGGAACGAAAAATCATTTAAGGTCAATATTGTTAACTTGTGTTTCATATTAGGCGATTAAGATGCACCGATCCAAGTATTTTATTCGAATTCAAACTAAAGAGCCTTTCGATCATAATTGCCAGCGAATACGTTATTGTAACAATTTAGATATTGCCCTGGAACAGATTAGCGAAGATTGTTACTACCAATTTTAGAAGAGAATTTGCTATTAGAACAAAAGGCCTATTTTATCTGAGTTGACTGGTAAGGTCTCGAGCCGCTGCCAATAAAAATTAATAATATGAACATTTTTTGGCATAATGCAAATCGAGTGAAATCACTCTGGTTTCTAAACCCGTTTCTCTGCAACAAAATGAGAACGGATATATCCGCTTGCCATTGCTACGATTTTTTTTCAGGAATACATTATTTATTATCAGTTAACTTTCCGTATTCTTATTCATATTTTTTCCTTGAAATCAGCGAAGACGAGTCAAATGTCGATAACTAAATATATGCGTTTGACAGCGCTTCAAAAATTATTTTCAATTGCATACTTGTTGTTAAGGACATGATTGCGAATACGTATTAATGGAAGCTGTTAACTGCTTACTAAATGTACTTTATTTTGCTAAAGTTCAAGTCACTTGCTTTCAGTTATACTCAGAAGAAATAATATCCGCACACATATTTGATATTTTTTCGTTTGACTTATTGAACTCGAACGTAACATGACCCAAAATAACAAAACGAAATGAATAACAATAATACTTTATAATCCTGCAATTTTAGGGACATTAATTTACAAATTTCAGGTCGGTGAATGCCCATTAGCATGCTAATTATTTCCAAGATAATTCTCTAGATTTGCTGGCCTTTGATCCCTCAAAGGAATGCGGGGTATCCTTGATTGCTTCTGAAACGAACTTAAAACTTGAAGCAATTATTGAGTGGCCCTCCATTCTAAAATACGAATTAATAATTAAACGATTACATGTTTTTAGGCTCGGAATAATCGATATTCTTTAATTGATGATCTGACTTAAGCCCCTGGAACTATTATTAATGATGATAATGTAGCAATCACTTACAATTAATGTACTGAATAAATTTACGTATAGACATGAATCTGTGAATCTGTTTCTAAGCGTTTCCTATACAAAAGGAAGTGCATTTTGTTATGATTATCAATTATTGCGGAATTATATGTCATAAAAATCTCGAATGGATCGTAGAAAGTTCATTGTTGAACGGGTGCCTATAGGTGTGCATATAGCTTGCATGGTCTCATTTATAATGCACTTCCGGAGTGGTTGGTTTAACGCTTTATCCCCAGAGCACTGAACTTACTGTTATTTTTAGTTGATTTGTTTGAGCTAGATGAATGAAAATATCTAATTGTTTGAAATTTTAAATAATACAGAATTTAATTTCAAATTTCTGTGCGCACAAAACGGAATATAAATTCCAGTAGAACTCTGTAAAGTTCCAGTTAATTTACCGTGGGAGTTTTGCACGATGCGGACACTAATAGTAAAATTTGCTGAGGTCGACTCAGCAATCAGCCCATCTGAACTGAATTGAACGCTGGTTTTCATTTAGTTGGTCAAAATGAGGACATCAAATGATTGATTTATAGCTATATATACTGTCCTTCGATCCATGTTATACATTATTGTATCACTGCACACTGCATTGTGGACGGAGAAGAATGTCGTGTACGCGATTGTATTCACGTGTACAGATGTTTTAATATCGATAAAAACTGTCCAACTAATAATATTATATATTCATGGATAGTTGACCACGGCAGTACGGACGGAGAAGAATGCCGTGTACGCGATCGTGTTCACGTGGACTGATGTAATGATATTGATAATACTGTCCAACTAATCATGCTATACATTATTGTATCGTTGCCCACGGCAGTACGGACGGAGAAGAATGCCGTGTACGCGATCGTGTTCACGTGTACGGATGTAATGATATTGATAATACTGTCCAACTAATCGTACTATACATGATTGTATCGTTGCACACGGCAGTACGGACGGAGAAGAACGCTGTGTACGCGATCGTGTTCACGTGGACGGTGATCCTGACGAGCTGCGTGCCCATCTACATCGCGCACGGCATCAAGACGAGCGAGTGGAAGGACCAGCAGTACGCGTACTGTACCTTCCTCACGCCTGAGTACAGTGACGCCGCCTTCAGGGTGAACATTTACTTCCGTTATTTCATAAATCATTCTTAATTAATATGTTCAGGTTTAATCATGGACTTGAATGAATATAATAAAGTATTTTCATCACGTGACAGTATTTACAAAAAATTGTCCTGATGAATGTGGATAATTATTGTTTTCCTGTTTTTCGATGAATAAAATGATTTGTGAAGTCTGTTATTTGGGAAAGATGATTGGATTAATCAGCTCATAAATACTCTTTTCAATTTAATTCCATCAGAATTATTTTCATTTATCTCTTGACAAATAGGCTTCACTTCAGACGTGCATATCAACTGTAAATAATTGTCCCATTACTCGGGAAATCTTTCCCATCATGCAGATCGGCTTCATCTGCACGATGTACTTCATCCCCGTAATTGTGATGGTGTTTCTGTACGTGAAAATTTTACACCGTCTCTGGAAGAGAGACAGGCCGGGGGGACCAGCGAGCGCTGAAAGTCTACGGAACAAAAAACGCGTCACTCAAATGGTCATCATCGTGGTGGTGACGTTCGTTGTTTGCTGGATGCCGATACAGGTAATACCCCTTCACCCGCTGTAATTTCTTCTTCATTCTGTTTCTAAATTTAATACATCGTTAATTAACCCTTCAGTCTGCCTAACATAAAAGGAATAATTATCTACTTATATTGAAAAATCCGGGGAATCCTTCGTATTATATTACCGCTATATTTTATCAATATTATGTTGTATCTGATTTATTACTCATGTAAACTAACTTTACTTCTATAAGTAAACTATCGAAATTAAGAAAAGCTAAATTTGGTGGACTAGAGCTCAGTCATACTCGTTTTTGCTTTCAATAACCGTCCTAGACATTATTTATTTTTAACATTAATATTTCAACACCAAAAGCTTAGCAAGCACCAGAACTATAAATGTGACTTCAAGACGTCTGGCTGTGTTATGAGTTGCAGCACTCAATTTAAATTATTCAGGTTTAAAATTCAGTAGTTGTTCCCTTTATTTCTATTGGTTATTCTCACTCATACAAATATGAGCTCCATTGTTTACACCTCCTCTTCTTCAGTCCGGAAATTCAGTGAGGGAACAATTTATTGAGCAATCGTTCCCGCAGGATCTCATCTGCTAGTCATTTATCTCCTTGACTGGCACGTTCCGCAGCCTTTTCTATATACACAAAAAACTTTTACATGCGGCTGCCGAAGTATGCTATACAAAACTGTACGCCGCATTATTCCGAGTTCAAGAAAGATCCCTCCCGATAAAATGTAGATAAATAATTTCCTATGCAGGTACATTACAAATTCTTCCGAATTAAAATTGGTTGGTTAAACTACGCATCAAATCATGTATTTGAAATTTGAAAAATATATTTAACTTTGAATTATATATGAGATTTTTAAATCCCATGCACGTTTCGATGTTCAGCGGTACGATTTTAGATGTTTTATTTTCTGCCTCAAAGACTTATTAAATGAAACCATTAATCTAAAATTACGATTGTTCTGTGATGTCTGTGACAGGTTCTTTGAGCTGAAACCTATATTGGATGGGGGAGTTAATTGAAGATCCTCATCAATTCTATTTTCATACATAAGAATGTAACTTCAAACAGTTGTCGATCTGATATCACTTAATTGCGACGTAAATAGATGCATCTTTTAGAAGCTTATACGGGTATATTTTATATATTTGTGCGTACAAAAAGTTTTAAAATATCAATAGATGTATTGTATGCATGTCGCCTCTAAGGACATGAATAGTGTCTCATAGAAACCTTCGGGTAAAATCAATTTAGGTTGTCGTTGGTGAATGTGTTAGATTATTTGTTTGAATTTCCTCGATCGCTTCAGCAAACCAAGGAAAAAATGTGACCGAATATTCTTTTCTTATTGTTCTGACTTCTGTTTAGAGCGCGCAATATTTTGTGAAAATCTTATACGTGAGATCAGTTAATTTCATTTGTGGAAGAAGAAACAAATCCTCATTCTTATTTACCATAGCTTTACTAGCAAGAGAAATAGCTTTACAAGCACGAGGAATAGCTATACAAGCACGAAGAATAGCTCTACAAGCACGAGGAATAGCTTTACAAGCACGAGGAACAGCTTTGCAAGCTCAAGGAATAGCTTTACAAGCTCGAGGAATAGCTTAACAAACACGAGGAATAGCTTTACTAGCAAGAGGAATAGCTTTACTAGCAAGAGGAATAGCTCTATAAGCACGAGGAATAGCTTTACAAGCACGAGGAATAGCTTTACTAGCACGAGGAATAGCTTTACAAGCACGAGGAATAGCTCTACAAGCTCGAGGAATAGCTTTACAAGCTCGAGGAATAGCTTTACAAGCACGAGGAATAGCTTTACAAGCTAGAGGAATAGCTTTACAAGCACGAGGAATAGCTTTACAAGCAAGGGGAATAGCTCTACAAGCACGAGGAATAGCTTTAAAAGCACGTGAAATAGCTTTACAAGCAAGGGGAATAGCTCTACAAGTACGAGTGATAGCTATATAGGCATTAATCAAAAAGAAACTCGTAATCAACTTCATACATAAAAGGATCATCACGTCAACCTCTATTTTGACAGCAAAAGCTAATGGCACAAAATTAATCAAAAATATAGGGTATTGTAATCACTGACCCGGCCTTGATGCATCTGTTAATACAAAGATTCTTGCATACAGACAAGGTTGCGTATAAAATTTTCCTATAATTTTCTTCATTTATACTGTATTATTATAACTTTTCTTATTTTCTGTTTGGTAAGTGTATACTTTACAATCCCGCCTTCAGATTGTGCTGCTACTGAAGTCTTTGGGGGTGTACGAAATGAACGCCGTTGGGATCGTGTTCCAAGTTGGGGCTCAAGTTCTGGCTTACATCAACTCTTGCTTGAATCCTATTCTCTACGCATTCCTATCTGATCCTTTTAGGTGAGTGGCAGGCAAGGGCGCAGGGATTTTTTGTATCGAGTGAAATTCTATCATTCTGAAAACAAACTCGTCATTAACTCTGTTATTAGTCATGGATTAGACATAATCTTAATAATGAATATTTAACTTATAAAAATAGTGTTAGAGTTCCGAAATATTCTAAGTTTCTGATATTTATTTGTGCTGCTTTGATTCCAGAAAAGCGTTCAGGAAAGTGATATACTTCAATCCTCGCTGCTGCAGCAGAGGATCAGACCATTGCGATCTCGGCGTCGTTGATGAGAACGGACCAACGTCTACGAAACTGATCAAACTCATGTCGCTTAAGCGCAACTCTAGAGAACGTAAAAGAAAGCAATCCACAACCGCTTGCATCAACGAACTCACTGAACTAAAGAGCACAATATTTCATGAATCCAACCAAAACGACACGGACGTGAGTAATTTAAGTGAAATGGTTTATTGCGGACCAACGCACTACACGCCACCTCCCAGAGTCGACGATGATCGTATGCGGCAACTGAAACTTTACGACGTCCCGCTAACGCCGGTCCCTGAAAATGACGCGACACCAAACATGAACAATAACAATGGCACCACGCAGCGCAGCAACGGCACACTTTGTACTCAGGAAGCCATCAATAGTTCTAATGATCTTGAGGAACTTCACGGCGAGAAACCTGCCTCGGGTTCGATGCCGCATATCGGGCGTGGAGTGAAGCAGAAAGTTCCACCTGCAGTTCCGCCTCGAGGCCCGAAGAAGCTCAATGCTCACAAATCATCTGAGTCCATCGAACAAAATTCAGAGTTTTCTCTCTTAAAATCAGAAAAAGATCAAGAAAATAAAAAAATTGAACAGGATAGCAGGGAAATTAATTCGAGCGAGTCCACACGACAATTGCTGAAGACTTCTCTCTTGTGTGAGCCTAAAAAAATAGATGAAATTCCTTCATAGTGTAAGTGATGAAGTCATAGTTTAAATGGTTAAATAAGAAAAAATCTATGCTCTGTAAAAGTGAGTGCTTCGAAACCATCATAAAACGACTGGACGTGTCCTCATGTACCTGATTGCTCCCTAATTGTGTTTTCATATTTCAATTTTCGAGATTTGTAATGACGGGATTTTATGGCACGTACTCGTAATTTATCATGCACAAACTAAACTAAAGTATATCACCTGAAATAAGTTCCCAACGTTGTTTGTCAGTTGGGAACGAATATTTATCTTGAATAAAAAAATATTAATATCCTGTACATATGTAATCTAGTTTTCATACATTACATTCTATTCCCAAGTTTGCAGCTAATGTTGATCGCAATTAGCATCAGTGTTTCCTTTTGCTCAAGCCACGAGCGAGTGCAAGCTTGCCAAGCCGGTTATGATTTAGTTAGGTTGAAGACGCCATTATTGTGCTCCAGTTTGTGATCCTCTTTGTTAGCTCAGACAAATGGCAAAGTGAACATTGCGGAAGTGCACAAACTGTTGCTTGACAGTAAATTGCTCACGTGCGTTCATTGCTCACTAAGTTGTTATCATTTGACACTTAGTGAATTTTTCGTCAGAGATTCGTACGTAAAGTCTGATGTTTTACGCTCAAACGTACTAAAAGTTTTGGATCCTGACGGACATTTACTTTATATAAAGTCTTAACCATGCTAACATTTCCTGATCGTCGATCATTTTCCGTTGTTAAAATGTTGACCATGTTTTACTAACCTAATATAGTTAGAACAACAACTTCCAAAAAGTATTACTGACTCTCTACATTAATGCTATCTATTTGCTGAAGCTGTGCATGGTTTAACCTTTTATAAGCATATTTTTGTAGTCGTACTTTGTGTTGAAACCGCACGGCGACTAATAAATCAATGTGATTTGTGTGACGATATTTGTGAATGTTTTTGTGTTTAAAATAAGTTCTACCAGTGCTTAAGTGAACGTTCTCTAGCCGTTGCTATTCAATGTTATTCAAGGATCCATGGACGGAAAATTCAGAAACTAATGAGACGCTCGAGAGCATGAGTGCACAGTGAATGCTTGAGTCTTACGAGTGTGAAGTTAACTGCGCTAACTGCAGAGCTGCAAAGACTGGCCAATTAGTCGGAGTTCAACATCAAACCAAACTCATAGTTCTGTCTGTAGCTTGTCTCAAATGTGTCTACATTGACATGTATATTAACATCAAATAGTTTTCACAGAACATGCCTATTTTTTGTAATGATCTTATTTCAAATTCAAAAATTAAAAAGACGATCTATGTTCAATTAAGATTCATGTCATTGACAGCAATCATATTTCATCAATACGAGTAGTTAAATTGTATCGATTTACATTTACACAACGCGGTTGAAAGAAATTGGATGTGGGCAAGGTTTTGCGAGTCATCGAAAAGGTTAACGAAATTATTTCATTGCACAATGGAAACGCAAGCAAATTTTCAATACTGGTGAATGGAAAAACAAATTGTCCAGTTAAAGTGATGACAAACTGATGATTTGTAACTATTAATAATGGTTCTACATGGGATAAAAAATCTTCATTAATTTTAAGCGTTAGCAAAAATTATAGCCGTCCCTCCCTTGGAACTAGTGACCACCGTTTGTTCACCGTGAATATGCGAAGTTTATTTGACCCTTTATGCAAGTGTTTAATTGTCGTCAACTCATGGTTCATTAAGCGTCTTCACTAGGCACAAATGTTCAGCCCTTTAGATTAGCATTCTGAATTTTGATTGAATGTACTACTATTCATTTTTGGAGCCATGCCATGTTTAAACTAGAGACATAATTTAGATTCAAAATAGCTTTCATATACATGAAAAGTTTACTTTCGCTTGGAAACCTGATTAGAATTTATGAGAAAAATATTTTCCCACTACCCGAAAAAAAGTAACTGGAATCATTGTACGATTTAGTTTTAAGAGGCAAAGTCAAATAAAACGATATATTTTGATCGAAGCTTAAAAAAACTTGAAAAGGAGTCACTTTGACTGAGGTCAACATTAATTGATCAATATATTAAAAAAAAGTGAACATTTCCATTCATGTCCGACAATCAATCTTCCTCCGAATTTGTTGATTGCTGACTCATTGAATGCAGTCGGATGAGCGATTAGAAAAACTAGAAAAAGTATGCAAGCTTTAAACGAAGAAACCATTGAACGGAATTTGTATTCCGCCATATATTATACTTCTGGCAAACTTCAAAAAGTCTTGCTAATTTGACACAATTATTTATTATTATTATTATTATTAATTGCGTAATTTTTGAAATTTCATAGAAAAAATTCCGTGTACTTTCATTAATAACATATTTGAATGTTTGGTGAGCTCAGTTCTTTCAACAGCAAAAAAATTAAGATCCTCACATAAGGCATTTAGATCAGGTAATCTATCACAGTTTTATAAGAAAATCCGCAAGGCGTTCTCGAGAATAAATGATTGCATCAATTTTATAAACTGTTCTCCTCTACATGTAAAAAAATTTTACATTCTGAGATTTGGTGAACTTTAGTCTTATCCGTTTCGAAGTGACGACTCCTCCAAAAACACATCCTTAAAGTTATCAACGGTAAATACTAAAATTTTTACCAATATTCCTACAGGATATCGAGTGGCAGGTAGAGCTTAGAATGCTGTGAAACAATGCGTGCTTTTTTGTTAAGGAAAATTCGTGTTCGTGAAAGCATTTGAGACTCGCCGAGCAGATGGGCACGAGCCCAGCTCATCTGCTAGTCCCAGTCTCATGCCGCGTAGCTTGTCTGTGCTCTCATCTCACCAAGTATGCATGTTTCAACACTGAGATATCACTACAAAAAATCCTTAATATGGTCTTCTTGCAAAGAAAATACTTAAATTGAATTCAAATTTTCACTTTCACATGGCTAGGGTCTCTGGAATGTCGCGAATTTGTTTTGTTGTAAGTTCAAATATCATTTCAAATGAGAAATTATTGATGCATTGCAGTTTATTAATACAATTTGTTATGACATTGAAAAAATTTTGTACCAATATTCCAGGAAGGTTTTCCACAAGCACTTTGTAGCTTGTAAACACCTGCTGATTTAAGCTTATTTGCTGCTCTTGTATTTTTTATTTTTATATTTTTTTAGTTTTATAATTAAGCATAATTTTTATATAATTATTATTTATATACATGTTTCTATAATTTATATGTACGTGTTTTTATATAATTATAATTTTACATATATATATTTATAATTTTTTAGACAACTTTTTTTCGATTTTATAATTAATATCGTTCCTAGATCTTCACCCTGTACGATGTTGAATATTTTTCAATCTTTTGTCAAATCAGAGTGAATAACGAACTCAAAATTCGTGCGATTGAACTATTCCATCATATTCAACGCGGAGAATATTGTTTCTTTAATTTGTGGTAAAAATTCCTTTAATGAACTAAATTTTCCGTAAATAGTAAAATCATACATTTTTTGCAAGTGATTGTGAATGAAATACATCTACTTTGTGAGGTCATTGCACGGCACGTCAAGTCAAGTCTTCTGGAAAGACAAGCTGAAGTTAAGACATGAAAGTTATTACTTGCTTGAACATATTTGTAGGTGCATGAATATAAATATATGGAAATAAATTTACTAGTTTTATTATCTCCATCATTTTTGGTTTATCATTTCACCAGTCACGGATGGAGCAACGAAGAGCGTGAAATATTGAAGTTGGAAAACTTTTTCATGAAAAAATTGAGAATTTACATGGCGTTTTCTTTGATTTCAATTTTTGACGAACGAGAATTGAGAAATGTCAACGCTACGTTAAAGACACGCAACTTCAAAAAATGTCTACAATTGTATTCTCGAAATTTTAAATTAGAAGAAACTATGAACCTCGGTACTGACCAGTGGTTGAGAAACGATGCTTCATTAGGGCCATAATAGATTTGCGTTCACTCGTAACCTGGGCCATGAATAACAGCATTACTGCGTCATCTGAGCCATGAATAACTGCATTACTGTACAAAAATCTGGTGGAGTTCATATTTTGGTAGTCATAAATAATCCGCTTTTCTGGCCAGTGTCAAGCCGAACCCAAAGAAGAGTTGTTGCAGCAAGAATAGTCAGATTTCCTACACCAGCCTAACCGCACGGTGTTCCCGCTTCACCTGTGTTTGCCTAGCAGTTTTTGGAAGGCATATCTTCAGCATCTTACCTCGGCCGCGGTCCTGCTCTCCTCTTGATCTGGCGTTGTGGTGGCTCGACGAGAGCGTGGTTCCCCTACCTGGAGCTCAGACGTTCTGCTCAGCAGCTGTAGTCACGGTGGTGCTACTCTCCCGGAAGCTACACTCCTTGAAGCTTCGGAGACGTCAAAGGTGAGGCTTGATTCTTGGCCAGAACCTGCTTACCTCGCTCCTAGCCAATTGTTAAAAATTGTATGATCCTTTAGGATTTGGACCGTTATTAATTTGTGAATTCCACCGATTTTTTATTGAACACTGATATTGATTAGCCATGTACTATATTCAACCAATTCTCAAGTTTGGGTTTGTTTACCGGCAAGTGTGAACCCTGTGATGTTCATGGCCAGCCAGGCAATCAAGGGTCTTGGAGACAAAAAATATTGAAACAAATGAATCAAGTATTGTGGTGTATCAACAACGCAGATCGAGGATAAACGTGCATCAATTATTCAATAATGTAGATCCTATAATAATTCACGCCTTTTAATTCAAGTATTTCAGTCATATACTGGTAATTTGTCCGTTTTATTTATGCAGAAGGTATGCTCAGGAATATATACTTAAATGTTTGCATCGAATTCCGTAGACTTTCCAGAGCATCCCGTCGTGTCGATGTCCACTTCGTCTAGTTTCCGTGTTCATTGAAACTTTGAATTATTTATATGCTAAAATAAGAAAATTTCGCTAATTCAAACAAATTCATCATGAGAAAACTGACAGTTTAAGGGTACAATTACTCAGACTCAATTACAAATGATAATAGCTGGATTGAAATCGTCCTGTTCATCCGTATAATACACTTAATATTTTATAGCTATAATTCACTGGTTGAACTTATTATTGATGTAGTTTACCCTCAATAAAGTACGTCCTAAGTTATTTCTTTTATAAAACTGAGAAGTGAAGACCTAGTTTTAGAACTTCGAATATTCTCCATAGTTAATCTGCGCTTCAATGTTTAAAACATGTTACAAGTTAAATCAATGTTAAAGTTAAATTCCAAATAATAGAGGCCTTCCTACACGTCCGCTGAATTTCATTCTTTAAATTGAACCACATGGGTCACTGCACTAGGTCAAGTGAGTCTGTACACAAGGAACTTAAAGGACTAAAAAAAAAAATAAGGGATTTCTGCACTGCACGACTAAAGGTAATTGAATGAGATTTCATCCACTTAATTTAGACCGTCAACCGAAACGTATATTCAAAAAGTTCTATAAAAGGAATATTAACAATTTTCTAAAAATAATATGGAAGTGTGTTCAAACTTCTTTACTGAAATCAAGAAGATAGTTCAAAGTGAATGACAACGCAGAAATGTGCCGCCGAAAATTTTAGACATACGTCTAAAAAATGTTTAGACTTGCTGAAAATACTTGCGTCAAGATGATTCTAGATCAGCGGATTCTTCCTTGCAACACAAGAAATTTTTTGCGGGAATCTTTTAATGTAAGGCTGAGCTGCAGCTCACGTCCGCCTCGATCATGATTTATTTCCGCTTGCACGGAAAGCCTGGACGCCGCGTTGACAATTTTTACCCGTACAAAAATATGCCGACTTTATAATATTTACAACAATCACTCTTATAACATCAAACATAAACAGTGCTCTCCTAAAATTAACCTAATTTTTCTGCGTCAGCAATATCTGGACAAAGAATATTTGGGTGTAACATTTACTAAGTTGTGCGTAAAAACTTCACCAATTTTATAAAAAATACTCTTTTGCAACCTTATAGTTTGGAAAATTTTACAATTGTATGAAAAATCATCAACCAAAAAGTAATCTTAAGACAATGAATATGTAATTAAAGAAGCTTCCTTACAATATTTAATTCATCTATTTATATAGAAATAGATGAATTAATCTGATTTAATTACTTTATTTAAACGGGTGTATGCAACATTGATTTGTTTGAGGAATTTGGCACGAGACTGTAATGTTTTAATGTTTCAGGTGCACAAATTTATTATATAGAAACTTCATTGCATGTTTCCGTGGTTGATCAGCAACCCAAACAACGAAATACGACGAACGAAGCCAATCGATTGCCTGCCTGACGCTCAGTGCTGCACTCGCAATGGACGCAACATCGACGATAATAATTACACCACCAAGGTTTTTTATACAAGACCATGAGGCACCTCACCGACCACTTTTTTGTGGGTGAATCGCTCATTTCAAACTTGCTATAAATTTGAAAGAAAAAACTAGGTATATTTTTTATTACATTATTGAATATTTTAGTCTCCTGTACTTTAATTTTCAATAATAATTGCTTGTACTGCTGTTCTTAGCAATTATAAAAGTGTATCGCTTGGGTAATATATCTTTTATTCATTCAGTAAATAAACAAAATCGTAGTATCCGTGAATTTCCTAATCGTATTTAAATTGTAAGCATTCGGCTTGCCATATTTACGGATTTTTCCATAGGCAATTCTGACGTTCACTTCCCGGTCTTTCTATATCCGGAGCACAGGCCGATATTACGGCGGGTGTTCGGCAATCACGTCTGCCGCGATGATCAAAATTTTTCAGCTCATTAGCGCCTTGGAAGGAAATTAACGCCGCTGAATATTTTGAGCGTCACAAGTCCCGTTTAAAATAAATCAATTGGCAAAAATTTCGATCTTAATCGAGCTGCTAAATTGAAACGGCATTCAAACAACCACAGGTTATTACGCTTGGATACAGAATATTCTTAGGATAAATCCCATGTAGATATGTGAGTTAATTTATGGCTCGAAGAACTTAGTGTTTACTGGTTAGACGGACACAATATATTTTTCGATAAAAGGCACGTATTTACGACTAATAAATGTTCAGTTTAACAAAATTAAGAGAGAAAAGTTGAGCACATTTTTTTGCTTGCACTTCATAAGCTTGTAAAATATATTTCCATTTTAATTTAACTTCTATTAAAATAACACTCGTACAGGTAGATTTTGTTAATTAAATTAAATTTTCTAGTTAATAAACTCATTGAAAGAAGACAAGATTTGAAGTGAATTATAATTAAATATTAGGCTTTGAATTAGATCTGATGGCACCAAAAGCTGCTAATTAAAAGTGATTCAGTGAAAAACTTTCTCTTGCGAAGGCCGCAAAGGGAAACGCGGAAATTTCCCGCCTTCACTTAAGTAATTGCCGGAGGACCTCGACTTCGGTAAAAGTTATCGCCACGCGACGGCCAATGAAGTCGTGTTGGATTGGCTGGAGTTTGACAGAAAGATTGAACACGAGTCAATAAATTCACTCAATTTAGGCACTTAATTAGTTTCTCGAATGTTCAGCACTTTCTTCTGAATTTGCGTAAATTAATTAACGAATTATATTGCCTTAGATTATCTTTAGTGATTATATTGATTTAACTTACCGGATAATCATTAAGTAACTCTCCAACCCAAGATATGCAATTACTTGACAACCGTAAATATGTTGCTTGAATTTCACTAGCATCAGATAAGTTGTTTCTAAATTCTATTTTACTACAATAACTGTGGTAATTCAATTCTAAATTTCCGCTAGCAGTAGAAAGAAATCCACTGGACAACAGCAGAAAGCCCGTTTCAAATTCCAAAATTTCAGTTGTGTAAGTTCTGTCGTTTGTAAATTATATTTACTTCCAATAAATTGAGTAATTAAATTCAAAATATCTCCCTAACTCAAGAAATTCCCTCGCTTGACAACAACATAACAATGCTATTACACACTGTATGATAATGTGCCAATTTTATTGAAA